AAGTTAGATCCTAAAAAAACGGCTGGTCCAGACAACGTAGAACCTTTCTTCTTATAGATAGCTGCAGATTTTATTGCACCATGCACCTCTTACTTCTCTTTTTAACCTCTCCCTCAGCATGAACACAATTCCAAATATGGAAGTCAGCTTATGTCCTTCCTCTAGTAAAAAGTGGGGAGGCTACTTTATTAAATAATTATAGGCTCATCTCTAAATGATCAGTTCTGGCCAAGGTTCTTGAAAGCCTAGTGAGTGAACAGGTAAAGGAGTTTTTATGTAAAAATGACATCCTATGTAAACATCAGTCAGGTTTCAGAAAGCAACATAGTACAATCACTGCGACAATGAAAGTGGTTAATGATATTGCTTATCTTAGACAAAAAGCAGAGTTGTGCAGCTCTGTTTATTGATCTTTCCAAAGCTTTCAATACCGTCGATCATCATATCTTGAAGCAGAGGCTGGCCAGCATTGGCATATCCAGACATGCAGTGGGGAGGTTTGTGAGCTATCTGAAAGGTCCCAATGTGTTAATTTTGATGGGCTCACTTCTGAGTGGTTAAACATTACAAATGGTGTCTGTTTTAGGTCCACTTTTATTCTCCATCTATATCAACAGCTTTAGTCAAAATGTGGATGAAGAGACTTTACATTTTTATGCTGATGATACCGTGCAGGTCCCTCCATTAAGGAGGCTGTTGTTAAATTACATGCTGTTTTTAATATTATTCAGACGCAGCTCTCTGAGCTTAAGCTTCTTTTAAATGTGGATAAAACTAAGGTAACGCTATTTTCAAAAGCCAAAAAGACACCGGAGATAACTTTGGATATTGTTACTACGCAAGGAAAAGTACTTGAAGTGGTTACCTGTACCTGTAATGCCTTGGTATCTGGCTTGATGATTGTCTCTCTTTTAAACCTCAGGTCAATAATCTGCTTAGAAAGCTATAGGGTGAAGCTAGGTTTCTTTTTCAGAAGCAAGTCCTGTTTCTCGCTTGAGGCCAGGAAAAGGCTAGTCTCTGTGACCTTTTTACCTGTGCTGGACTATGGTGATTTGATATATGTGAATGCACCATTACCTGATCAAGTTAAATGCCGCCTATAACAGTGCGCTGAGATTTGTTACAAACTGTAAAGCACTTACTCATCACTGTACCCTGTATGCCAGGGCAAGTCTGCCATCACTTACAGTACTATTTGGAGACTCAGTCATTTATAAAGCCATGCTGGGTAAACTAACACCTTACATCTGCTCACTGATATCACAGAGTCGCAAGTAGCTATTGCCTCAGATCCCAGGATGTGTTTTTAGTACCAATTGCTAGGACTGTTTTAGGCACAACAGCTTTTATGTGCGCAACTCCTCTAGCATGGAACATTCTGCAATACATATTGAAAATTAGCATTTTGGTTCCCCTGCATCATTTTAAAGCACAGATTGATGAATTGATATTTGATACTCCTGGTACCTGTCTTTGTGAATACGTTTGTAAATTGTACCCCTGTCATTATGTCGTATGTGTCCTTTTTGTTTTCTGTTACGTGTGTAACCAATGTGCGGCAGGTCTCCCTTGTAAAAGAGATCGTATGTTTTTGTCGTTCTGAAAAATGAAAAAAGTTAGACTTGTAGGATATGTGGTGGTGGCTGCTCACCTGTTGATGGTGTCGGAGGTTGTGCTACGAGGACTTGAGTGGGTTTGAGAGGAAGACCCAGAACCTGCTGATCCTCTGCAGGCGGGATCACCACAGCATCATTCACCAGATGATCCTGAAGAAAGCATCACATTCAACACTTTCAAACCTTTACCATGCAACAGACAAATAAAGTGAATAAAGATTGGAGCTAAATATGTCAAATTACATGCATTTTTGTATAATTAAATATACATTTTATACTAAAACATTGTTAAGTGTTACTTTTTTAATATTTATATTCTTCATGATTGTGCATACATGTGGACAAAATAATACACAGCTCATTTCTAGAAACAAGGTATCTGTTTATTTAGTTTCTGTAACTCATAAATACTTAAGTACACAAAAATGTGTCAATCCAAAAGTTATAGAATTTTTTTTTCCAAAGCTGCTATAAAATTCAAGAGTAAAAATCAAGCCGAGTCAAAATGCTAATAGATTAAACAGATTAAAATGTAAAGCTACAGGAAACGTTTGTACAGACCTGCTGGATGATGAATGGGATGATATCTTTGAAGTGTTCTATGTGAGGATGTGTGCCCTAAACAAACATAAATAAAAGACATGGAAAACAATGAAATCCTTACACACACAGACACACACACGATGTTCAAGATATTCAAATGACTGCTTTCAAACAAGTGCCAACCTTTATGACCATGTCCACCTCTGTGCGTAAGGTCATGACCTCCAGCGTCACCGAAGCAACTTTAGCCCTGTCTGGTCCATCGACTTCATCTGGGAAACTGAGGCCGTCGATCTGCTGGTTGGTGTAACCGTAGAGAAACAAGATTCTCCGGCCTCCCTGTGGAAGAAAAATGAGGATTGAAATATTTGCACTTCACAAGAATTTCTTTAGATTTGATCAATGTATTTGTTGCTCACTTTAACGGCATCCACAGTGGTTCTGAAGACAGGGTTGTTGTGCTTGACGCTCCTCCAGTATTTGGGCCTAGCAGGACTGGTCAGATTACAGCCGTACTTCTCCAGGATACTGAAGGCCTTGATCAGTCTACTCAAGGACTCCAGAACCTGAAAAAGAGACACAATTGATGAGAGTAATTAGTCATATGGGTGACTATACCTACAAAACAGTCAAGTTGAGTGATTCTCTTTTTACTATGAGGTGATGCAGTTGAGTTTATTTCAGTTCATAAAAACAAAGGAGCAGTCTAGAGTTTGATTAAACGTATTGTGGATAGTCACAGCTAAATACTTGTATGATATCAGCTTTTGTATATTTACGGTTTGTCAGGAAATGTCTATCCAAGCAGCACAACCAGATGGAGAAATGTTTACCTCCTGTTTGTTGCGGCAGGCTGTGTTCTCCTTCAAGATGGCCTCCACTCCGATGTGACGGTACTTCTCTGACAGAGGCAGGGCGATGGTGGCCATGGTTTGGACCTCCGCCTTCACATCCTGGGCCACACCTGAGGCGGAGAGGAGGGACTGGGATCTGATCCTGACCTCGTCCATCTGGACCGATGCAGGACCACCGCTCATCGCTGTTAGAGAGGGAAGTGGATATATTTAGTGTTTAAATCAAAGCATGATTGTTACTCCTATGGGAGAACGTGCTGTGTTCTCTGTTGTACATTATGTGATGATGTTCTACTATTTTAACTGTAATGCATGAAGACAAATTGCAGGAATTGCATCTTGCAAAAAAAAAAACAGTTTATATTTAAAAATAAATATATTAAATCCTTTAACTATACTGCATTTTTATAATATTAATAATAAATAATAACACATTTATTCAGGTGCTCAAAGTCGCTTTACAGAGGTTGTAAAAGAGGACAACAAATACATATAGTAAAAGTCACATTAAAATCGAGCAATAAAACAACACACATTAAAAGCCAGTTTGAAGAAGTGAGTTTTTGTAAGTGTTTTGAAGGTGGTGATATCGGTTTTATTGAGGATGTAGCTGCTTATTAACCTTTTGTTTCTTGTTATTGTTTTAATGGTAATTAATTGTTATTCTTATACTTTATATAAAGCACTAGTAATTACCTATATGGCTGATTTGTTTTTCAAAATAAACTTGCCTTGCCTTAAATAAGGAAACTGACTGAGATTGGATATTTTGGCAGGTGTGAAATGTTAAATAAGTACAGGGTAGGTAGAAGTCCACCATTTCTTTTATGAATACATTTTCACAGCAAGACAAATGTTAATATGTCATAAAGTGACTTTTAAAAATGCACCTTTAAATCATATGACAACTGTTGGAAAGCCCAGGCTCATCTTACTGTCACTCCAATGGACGTTAACCACATTTAAAACCATTAGCTGACAACACAGTTACTAATGTTTCTCCAGGGTATAATCATATTCAACACGGTTTGGCGGTGTCAGTCAGGTGCTTTGAAGCTAGCAAGAAAAACAAGATAACAACAATTCACGTAAGTTGAAACCGAAAGTTTTTGTAACTCACAAACCTGCTCAATGTAGAAACCTCCGTCACGACTTTAGACGGTTATTCCCTGCTTCGGAGTGAACGTCGAAAGTATTTAAGTTTCCATTAATACAAATAAGCTCTTTAAAAACCCATGTCAGTGGTTCATATTTCACCTACACTGGGTTTGTTGCCTCTGGAGCTAATGCGGAAACTACAGTTGGACGTCTTGTGTTCCGGCTCCACTTCCTGTCCCGATTTTATTTTTTCAATATAAAAGCATAATTCCCACAATGTAACATGAATTTAAAAGTGGTCTTTAACATTTTTTATTTGTTTCTGAACACTTGAATTAACCAGTTATGGTACAATTAGATTATAAGTGCTTTTCAGAACGTACTTAGGTAAAGGAGAGAAAGGTAGTGCAGCAAAGTACAATATGTCTCTGAGATGTAGTAAAGTCTCCTTAAAGCACAACTATTTTGCACAATTGTTCTAATTTACATTGCACCTACCTACAACCCAAGATGTGCACATTCATAAAATAGCCTATAACATTCTATCTAAGCCATTTGTACATGTGTTACAAATCAATATTTAAATCCTATCATCTCGTGATTCACCAACAAATTGATGGTATTTCTTGATATGTTATTGTGTCTCTAGAATCTATTTTTCTGTATTTTAATCACGCAAACTGAACTTAAAGGCTGTACATTTAGGTAACGTCCTACTTTCCGCGGAGGAGGGATACAGTGGGAGGCGCAAATTTCATCAACCGACGTTAAATCGAAAGCAAACTTGAAGAGGAAATAGTAAAAAGTCTCACTTGAAGCCATATTGTCCTGCCGTGCACCTGTTCTCTTTGAGTTAATTTAAAACACTTTAACGGACAGTATTTATTTGTCCTTACGGTAAAACGTCTGCTCAGTCATGCCGAAAGCATGTTTGAAAATCAGCAGAGCGAATGCAGAGAAGGTGAGTTGATCTCGTGTTAATGCGCAGGTACAGTAGGCTACATGCGATAGCAGCTACTTGCTAAAATACTCTTTAAAATACTGATAACTGTAAGCAGATTGTTTCAAACATGTTAAAGAACAAAGTCAGTTGTAGTCCACTCGGGGAAGCAGGGGAAAGTCCCCGAGTGAAAGAAAAACGAAAGTAAATCCAACCGTCTTGTGCAACATGAGTCAGCAGCTAAAATTATGTTATTGACAGAAATGTATTTCCTTTTCCATAGGTGGAGAACTTCCGCCAGTCCCTGTATCAGGAGGTTTGTTCAGTGCCACTTTATTCTTGTGTTTTTGTATTATGTTGCATATTTTTAAAGTGTTTTTCTCTTGTTGTTTTGCAGGCAGAGCTTTTGTTCTCCAACTTCATCCCCATGAAGATTGCACAGCTGGATGCCTTGCAGAGGGTCAGTAACTTCAGATTTTCAACACACAAATCAAGGACCCTTCACCTGTTATTTCAGGTCTTAATTCATCCTCGGTGTGTTTTCAGGATGACGCCCTCAGTATCACAGACATGTCCTCTCTGAAGGCACCCCTGGACATCCCCATCCCAGACCCCCCTTCCCCAGAGGAGGAGGTGAGGTCTCACACAGCTTCTAACATCATAACCAACATATTAAAAAAAATACACAAACAGGGGTTCATTACTTTCCCTGAGATAACTTAGCTGCAGTTAACTTGTTGATATCCTCACTTCAGCCACTACTAGTTATGTGCTGACTGTATAGGGCATGAACCAACCTGTAGAACTTAGCTAATAATGTTTAGTGAGTTAATTCAAATTAGCAAAACCTGTCCAGTTAATCAATTTTGAAACATTTAAATACTACAACTGGTTTACAAGTCACACTTTTAAACGCCCCATTGTTTTTTATTTGTCTATCATCATTGACATATTGTATTCCACATTAGCTAGTTGTACGTTACTAGTGTGTACACGCTACCTGTAACTAATTCCCACTTGGTAGGATTAATTAAACTGATTTAATTGTGTTTACTCTGCATTTAAATCAACTGTATTCATCTCCCTCTCTGTATAAAGATACACTTTTTCTCACATACACAACACATAAGATCTTGTGACACATTTTTGACCATTAAAATGTGACTCCACAGGAAATGGAGACTGATAAGAATGAAGAGGATGAGAAGAAGAAAAAGAAAGGTAAAGTGATATCTTTGTTTTGTGTTTGCCCAGAATATACATGACATGATATCAAGTCTAATTCCCCCTCCCTTTCCACCAGCTCCAAAATGTGGCTTGATCAAGGGGAATGAGAAGATCATTATGCTTCTGGAGAGGGTGAAACCAGAGATCTTTGCTCTTAGAGAGACCATCCTAACTGTAAGTGAAGCACTCTCACTATGAAGTGTGTTGTGTAAAACAGAGTCATTAGAAATGGCAGAAGTGTTAGTTGTGATGGTGTTTATGTAACACTCTTCTTCTGTGTTACAGGTCACCTGCTGGATTCAGCACCTCATCCCACAAATCGAGGATGGAAATGACTTTGGGGTTGCAGTGCAGGTACATTATGCATGTGCATCCTGGCTGTGTGTAGCTGCAACGTTTGGTCAGGTTTTGATTAATTATTATGTGTTTCCCACCACAGGAGAAAATCTTGGAGAGAATCGCTGTAGTGAAGACCAAAGTCGACGGTTTTCAGACCAACATCAACAAGTAGTGTGACGTTCTCTTCGCTACAAAATAAATATATAATTATTTTAGTATTTCTTAGATTAACAGCAGATATTCATGGGCACATTCCTGTCACTTACAAACCCCCTTTCTTCTTGAATTATTTAGGTACTTTTCCGAGAGAGGAGATGCTGTAGGAAAGGCTTCCAAGGACACTCATGTGGTGAGTATAAACTTATCTTAAAGGATACGTCTGGTGAATATCTGCCTTTAACTTACTGTCAACTAATTCCTTTGAAAAGATAATAAAACAAACAGCCACAAGTATTGTGTGTGTGTATCAAATACTGACATCATCTTTCTATGTGATATCCATTATTATCCGTAAACTATTAAAAACACACTGTTGCATTGTGGGACATTTCCTTTCATTACCACTGTAGGTTTTTTGACTCAATCCCACATAAACTGTCCTGTAGACATAAAAAACACAATCAAAAAACCCACATTACGCTGAAAATAGTCCCTACAAAGTCCTCCTGATCGTTTAATGAAAATTCTTTAAAGCTTTGATAATATTACTGGAAATATCTTTAACATAACCTTCTCTGCCTCTAGATGGACTACCGCAGGCTGGTCAGCGAGAAGGACGAGGACATGTACTCTGAGATCAAAGTGATTGTTCTCGACATTCGCGGCTTCTACGTAAGTTAAAACAATCAGTTATTTATCACCATAACGTCATAGAAGAAGCTATAACTATGTCTCTGTTCACTGTAGGCCGAGCTTTACGACATCATCAACAAGAATCTGGAGAAGGTGACCAATCCAAAGGGAGAGGAGAAACCTTCCATGTACTGACGCATGGTGGGGGGGGGCGGGGCAGATACTACAATTCATGTGTTGCATTCACAAATAATCATCTGTCTGTTCAGTAATGCTGCACGTTCATTACTAAATGTTGCTTATTCTTCAAAAAGGTAACAATAAAAGTTTTATCTCTGATCTGTGATGACACTTTGGTTTTTGTACCGTAACTTGCACTAAACTACAAATTTAAAAAAAACGTAATAAAGAAGTCTTGTTTTTTTTTTCAAACTGTGTGATTTGCATTTATTTGTAAAAAGAAAAACAGTTTTAAGTGATTCATGATGCACTTCTGAATTCAACCTCTTTTTTTTTTTTATAACAAATACTCAACTGAAATCTTAGAAAAATATTTACCTTACTTAAGATCAAGAGGGAATGATCGACAAATAACAATAAACTAAGGAACACAACAAGGTAAAGGCATAACTCATAACTCCTCCTTCATTGGTGATGACTCTCCTCTCATACTTCAGGACCTTCTCCTCCAGGTATGAGCTGCGAATCAAAGAAAATACAAGAATATTAAAGGTCTAAAAGGAAGGTGGAGTGTGTACGATACACCGGTTTGAGTATTAAGTGGAATAAATAGTCAACGCTGCAAGGTAATCACCATTGTGATGTTGTTGCCATTGAGGAGGATCTGGTCCAGTTTGGTTATCCTTCTTCCCTCCGGTGTGATTTCACTAAAACATGGATATATATTTATGGATTAATTCAACGAATAGGTCCCTTAAAATGTGCTGTCATGCAAAGAACAAAGTATACGTACAATTCTGTCACGTCTTCCAGGACCATGTCTAACACACTGAGTTAAGGGCAAAACTGGGACATGATTCAGAGCAAACGGCAACATAGTGAAGACAATTTTACACAAGATATGTTTTATTTCAGAGTTAGATTGAAATCTGGAAAAGGATACTGACAAAGTCATCAAAACCAAGCAGGGTGCCGACGATTTCTTTGTCGGTTTTCATGACGATGTGAATTCGGGAGCCAATACATTTGTCCACAAGCTCTGAAAGAATAAAAAACAAAATCTATTTGTATTAGGCAGAAATGTTAGGTTAATTAACAGACAATTATTAGATTACCTTTTTAAATGCATTAATCATATTTAAATCTCAAAAGATAGTTCCCAATGTATTTTCTATTAATTGACCCACTGGTTAATTATTAATTGATTCATAATTTAACCTATACTAAAAAATGTAATTAATGAAAAATCATTAAACATGTTTTACACGCTTTTCTTACGTTTAGTAGCAAATATTTTATGTGTAAAGTGAATAAAGCAGACAGATACATTTAGTGCAGGAAAAGTAGAGGAAGGAACAGAAAGACCTCAAGGTAATTACAAATTAAACAAAAAGTAGTACAAATGTTATGGTACTTGAGTTAATGTATTTGGTTTCGTTTCACTATTTAAAACGGCTATGTGTCTGGTTTTTAAAACAATACATTTATATCCAAAAGCCTTTCAGTACGTTATTGACATGTTATGAAAGTCGTACAACTATCTAAGAACATCAATCTGTACTGTTAGCAAAGACAGCTAATGTTTTAGTAACGACTATCATGCGTTTTCAACGCAGCTGGAAGCATGATGCTAACGTTACCTAGCTAACCAAACATATCTCATATCTGAACCTTCGCTTCGAGTCGACACACCGCACTCTGCCTTTTATTACTGCTTTAAAATTGACAGGCAACTATCTAAAGACAGAAAGGGGACAATATTTAAAATGTACAAACCAAGTGGGAGCAACTGGGACGGATTTGTTGTTGGAGTAGCCGCCATGTTCATTCAAGAATGAGCACCAGTCAGAACCAATGGAAAGAAGAAAGTCAGTGGACAGGCAAAAGCAATCGATCTAAAAATTAACTGATGTAATTCCAAATGTCCACACGATAGCGCTAGCTCTGCTTGTCTTGTTCATGACGTAATTATTTTTACTTTGACAAGACAAGTCCCCATCTCGTCTCTGTAGTGTTGAAATACAAGTACGCTATTTATTCATAATGTATCGTGTTAGTCGTTGTTTGATTTATTCATGTATTATAAACGTATGTACATGAATGTATCTCAGTTTTAATCAGGTTGGTTCTTACATATGTTTTATATAGATTGTGTTTAAAAAATAAACACTTATACCATTTTTAAAAGATGTAGTCCAACCTTACCTTTCAACACACAGGGAATTATTGTATTGAAGGCCATGTAATTGTGAATATCGTTTTAAATAATGAAAACAAAGCCTTGACGAATCAGGAAGTGCACTGGTACCATCCCGCTGTGTTTACTCTTTGACACACTGGGACAAGGCGGAAGAGAGAATCATCTCCGCGGTGCTGCTTGTGTTGTGAACGCCTGTCTTCCTACTGCGGATTCAGGGGGAAAACGCGTTGTTGGCTGTGTTTACATCCAACACTGGAGGTAAAAACTACACAGGACACACATAACATCCGGGGGGAATGGAGTCTAACGGCAGGGACGATCCAAAGGGACCGGTGCTGCATATCGTGGTGGTTGGTTTTCACCACAAAAAAGGCTGTCAGGTACGTAGACCCTTCTCTCCATGCTAATGTTGCTAACTGCTAACCAGGGCTTCCCATTGAAATCATAATAAAGGCACATTTCCACTATATTTTTGTATGGATCGACTTGTAATCTGGCTCAATGACTGCGTATTTTCTTCTCTGACAGTGCATACATAAATCCTGCAGGGGGGATGATACGTTTCCTCATGCATTGAAGAGAGAGTTAACATCAGCTGTTTGCTCTGGGCTCTCAGGGTTATATAACATGTGCTCTGCTGCCAAATTAGACATCTTTCCACTTCACTGTATTCAACAGTGAGGACTGTGCATAGCAGGCTGAAGCTTGTCTAAAAGTGTTTATCTTCCCTCTCTGTTATTTAAAGAGCTTGCTGATTTAGTACCAGGATATCTACAGTAGTATGGTATGAGTGTTTGCTTGGACACAGTATGTAATATGTGCTAGTACTGTGTGTTTAGGGTTTTGTGGACACTGTTTTTTAGTCTAGAGAGCTCAAGAAGAACTGTCTAATGGCTGAACTGCAAAACAAATAGTAATTGACATGGTATTTGAATACCTCAGTTATTAATATTTAACAATAGTATTAGGTGTTACACCATATTTGACTGTGTAACTTGTTCCATAGTTTACTATTAAAAAAAGATCTTGATCTCAATGAAAATGTCCAAATAGAAAAAGCAATAAGTAATTATTTTCTTACCAAAACATTTCTTGACTTCCTGTATTGATACCAACGCATGTTAAAGCTTCTTATAAGTAAGAATTCGGGCGCTTTTATATAATTACAAAATGACTTTCCAACAACAAAAAAGAGACAAACATGAGGAGAAAGTATCTTTCCCATCAATCATGCTTCAACACCTTATACTTATCTCATGACCTCTTGGGGTCAGAGCATCACTCAACCTTTACGCGGCTTGTAATAGCTGGGAGATTGTTTTTGTATACAGTATTTTTTATTTAAGAAAATAAGCCAAAGTCTGCCTTCATAAAATAAAGTATGAAGCCGTGAATTGAAGTATCAAAGCCTGTTATGACAGCTATACATCTGAGACATCACTGTCATACAAATATCTAACTGCAAAGCCAAGGCCCTTAATCTGAAAATGCAGACACTTTCAGGTTGGCCTTTTGACTCCTCACGCGTATGTAAGACTTTCAGCATAAGTGCCACAAATGCATCTTCTAATTATCGCCTCCTCTTCCTCAAAATTCATTCGATTAACAGGCTAGGCTGGCTGCAGTAAAGCGAACACTGTGCTTCTTCCTCCTTGTTGTTGCTGCTCTCCATCTGCCAATGGTTAGGGTTAGGTTAACCTCGACTCACTGGGCTTGGAAGCAGCTGCTGTATGAGCGAAAGATAAAACAGACACTTTTGTATGCAAAAATGAGAGCGGACAGGGCCGTGCACATGCTTTGTTTCAGCCTGCTGCCTCTGGGTGTTATCTGAGAGGGGCCAGCCATCTCCTGCTGGGTATCACATTGGGGTTTGGCTCTCTCATCCGTCTGTCTCCTTCTCGTTAGTCGCCACCTTCTCTTATTCACCTGCCTCCCATCTGTTTCTCTGGCAGGAAGCTTAATAAGGTGACAAGAAGAAGGATTCAGATAATTAACTTCAGTAAAAGTCCTGCATTCAAAACATTGCATGAAGTAATTCTCAGCATCAAATAGCTTAAGTATGAAATATAGTGAGGGTAGATGTTCCCTGTCACTATTATATATGATGTTTAAGGGTTCATTTTATTTCTACATTAATGTGTGTGTTGTTTCTTTACAGCTGTAGAGGTTTATTTTATATATTGGCTAATTGAATCTGCTGCAATGCAACATTTTCTGTGTGTGTGTGTGTGTGTGTGTGTGTGTGTGTGTGTGTGTGTGTGTGTGTGTGTGTGTGTGTGTGTGTGTGTGTGTGTGTGTGTGTGTGAGATTCAGGGATTCAGGGCCGGCCGGTTTTATGCCAATATTTTAGGAGGCCGTTAACTGTCACCTCTGGCAGGTTGCTTCTTTCCTTGAGCTCAGTCATAATATAATGATTAAATAAATAGAATGTGTTATTGACTTTGATGCCAGTTGTGTTTTTAGTCATGCCAGCACTGCAGCTCTAACATCATCTGATTATCTCAACAATTATTTGATGTATGTCCTTAAGATTCCCTCCAATGTGTGTCACTTTGACAAATGCAGTTAAATACCAAGATTCACTTGCTGGATTCTTAGTCTTCATTTTAAAGTGTTATGAGAAAGCATGATAAGAAGAGATAATGCAGAGTCATAGGAAGGAAGTCATATTTTAAAGCATCCAATAATAAGTAAATGTGCTGACTCACATTTCAGGTGGAGTTCTCCTACCCTCCTCTGATGCCAGATGAGGGTCACGACAGTAACCTGCTGCCAGACGAGTGGAAGTACCTCCCATTCCTGGCTCTTCCCGACGGGGCACACAATTTCACAGAAGGTACGACCCCCCCAACACACACACACACACACACACACACACACACACACACACACACACACACACACACACACACA